GAATACCTTTCTTTGTTTATAAATAGGAACAGGAAAGGAAAAACCAGATTTCCTGGGAACAGTGGATGTCGATCCAACGTCGGAAACCTACTCGCAAGTCATCCACCGGCTGCCGATGCCTAATTTAGGCGACGAATTGCATCATTCCGGTTGGAACGCTTGCAGTTCTTGCTACAACGATTCAAACACTTCCCGTCGTTTCCTTGTTCTGCCGGCGCTTGTGTACATCTCTGCAACTCCCAACACGACACCTGTTTATTTACTTTTCAGCTGTGAATTTAACTTCAATTGCTAAAAAGTTTCTATTTCATTTTTCCAGATCTGGTCGGATATACGCCATTGACACACAAAAGAATCCACGAGCTCCCACCTTCCATAAAGCAGTCGAGCCTAATGAGATCTCAAGCAAAACCGGTCTCGCATATCCCCACACTGCTCATTGTCTTGCTTCTGGCGACATAATGGTTTCTTGTCTTGGAGACAAAGATGGAAAAGCAGAAGGAAACGGGTTTCTTCTTCTTGACTCGGATTTCAATGTCAAAGGAAGGTAAGCACCACATTTACACAGTTTAAACCTGCATATGTAGGGCTCATTTGTACTGACTGATACTGATTAAATTCCAGATGGGAAAAACCCGGACATAGTCCATTGTTTGGGTATGATTATTGGTACCAACCTCGACATAATACCATGATCAGTACATCATGGGGAGCTCCTGCTGCTTTCACTAAGGGATTCAACCTTCAAGATGTATCAGATGGTTTATATGGTCGACATTTACATGTCTATAACTGGCCAGATGGTGAACTAAAACAAACAATTGATTTAGGCCCTGATGGACTTCTGCCATTAGAGGTAAGCTCCAGAAACTTTGAATAAAAAAAAAAAAAAATGTTCATCTTCATGAATCCACATTGGTTAAATTATCAATTATCAAACAGATAAGGTTCTTGCATGACCCGAGTAAAGACACAGGGTTTGTTGGATGTGCATTAAGCAGCAACATGGTGCGGTTTTTCAAGACTTCAGATGGATCATGGAGCCATGAGGTAAAAATTTGAATCGGAATGTGAAATTCCATTTCATGATGTGTTTTGTTTTTTTTTTTTTTTAATCATTGTGTGGATTGGTGAATTTAGGTGGTGATTAAGGTGAAACCAGTGAAGGTCCAAAACTGGATTTTACCAGAAATGCCAGGGCTTATAACGGATTTTTTAATTTCTCTTGATGATCGATTCCTTTACTTTGTGAATTGGTTACATGGAGATATTCGACAATATAACATTGTGGACCCCAAGAATCCGGTTTTGGTGGGTCAAGTTTGGGTAGGTGGGTTGTTTCAGAAAGGAAGCGCGGTTGTTGCTGAAAATGAAGATGGTACAACTTACCAGGTTGAGATTCCGGAGATCAAGGTATGGAATTGGAATTGGAATTGTTGATTCCATTGTTTTGTGGAATGGAATTGGATTATGATTGTTTGATTTTATATAGGGACACCGATTGATTGGGGGCCCACAGATGATTCAACTGAGCTTAGATGGGAAGCGATTATATGTTACAAATTCATTATTTAGCAAATGGGACAAGCAGTTTTATCCAGAGGTGGTGGAGAAAGGATCTCACATGTTACAGATTGATGTGGAGACTGAGAAAGGTGGACTTTGTATAAACCCTAATTTCTATGTTGACTTTGGGGATGAACCAGATGGGGCTTGTTTGGCTCATGAAATGAGGTATCCAGGTGGTGATTGCACTTCAGATATATGGATTTGAATTTTCAACCATAAGAATAAAGATCTTGAATTTTTAGTTTATGGAAATGTGAGATATATGTACTACTAGTATTTGAAATAAAGTTTCCATTTTAGTTTTGTTTATGATGATGAGTATGCACTTAGTTATGATGCACTATATATATTTTGATTAACAGATAATGATATTGTTTGAATCCGTAATAGTTATTAATTATAATTTAATAAAAGTATCATCTTTAATTATCAATTGGCATAACTCATATTATACTTGATTAATCATTCAAAATATATATATATATATATATATATATATATATATATATATATATGGAAAATGTTTTGAAATGGAGTAGTAGGGAGGGTTAAAAACATGGTTGTTTAAGATCTCAATTTTGACTTTAACATCTTACAATCTTAAGATTATGTAAGATGAAAAGCAATCACAAAGTCTTTAGGACTGATTTTGAAGCAAGTTTCTTATTGGGATCTTAGGATCTAGACTAGGATCGTAAGATCTTATTAGTGATCGGACTAAGTATGAGACTCATGTATTACGTGGGTTTATTTAAAAGAAAAAAATAAATATAAAATTCTAAACATTTCAGAAGTTTAAATTTATAAGAAAAATGAAAAAAATATTGAATTATAAAAATTAAAGTGTTTTTTTCTATAATTTAAACAAATAATTTAGATAAATAAATAAAGGAAATTAATGAAATTTTAATTTAGTAATTTTGAAATTAAAAGGAAAGTTCATTAAGGAAATTAATATACATTTATTATTGCATTTATTTAAATACTATATGGAATTAATAAAATAGAAAAACCATAAAATGACATGTGGAATAAAAATTAATTCAAAATAACTACAAAATGACATTTGACAAATTAAGTGTGACAAGTGGCATAAAAACTTTCATTTATTAGAGTAGACTAGTTTATAACCCGTGAGAACCACGGTTATAAAATTAATTAAACTTTCATAGTAAAAACTTAAAATTATTAATCAATTATTTCAAATAAATTATTTTAAATAAATTATTTCAAATAAATTATTAATTAAGAGATATTCTTTTAGTTATATAAAATTATAATCGTTGATTTAAATAAATACAGAAAATTATATCACCACATATATTAATTTAATTTCTAATAAATTTAATTTTTTTTATTCTAATGTTGTTAATTTAATATAATTGGAATGTGAAATTTAAAATTCAAAATTTGAAATTTGAAATTTGAAATTAAGAATCAATTATTAATTTAATGTAATTAGAGTGGGAAATTTAAAATTTAAGAGTTAAAATAAAGAATTAATAGGTTGACATGTGGCATCATAGGTGACATATAATATTAATGAGGATTTATAATATAGTAACACTTGTCAATAGTATAATAAACTTATTCATTTATTAGAATAGAGAGATTGTATAGTCAATTCTTTACTCTTCTAAACTTTAAGAGATTAGCATTTCTACTCAACACATGCATAGCTTAATAGGACATGTTCATAAAATAACACATTGGATGTCTTTATTGTACAAAATGAAATTTTAGAAATAGGGCGATTTAAAGACTTGATTACGAGGGTGTTCGAGTCGTTGATGCCAAAGAGACCAGCTTGAAGACAAAAAAAATAATAAGTGAGGTGGTGATGGAACATTTTAAAGAGGATCGGTGTTGTCACATTGGATAGAGGTTACTAGCTCCTGTAATTCTTAACAATAAAATTAAAAATGTCAAACTCATTAGTCAGGGTGGGTCGTGCTAATAGGTGGGGCAGCTTGAGCGATGGTCCAGGGCCTCCAAAAAATTTGGGACCCATTTTTATATACCTTATTATGTTAGTATAGAACAAGAAAAACTGAACGGAAAAAGGAAAGAAAATGAAGCCAAAACAAAATTAGTAATGAATACTAACAGTGCGATTCTTTTGGCATAATCATCGCATTAAGTCTCTTACAACCATCGATCGAAGGACTATATGAATCAATTCTATTTTTTTTTTCAACAATAACAAAAGAATCGATTTTAGTTTTTTCACGTAACCTTCTGATTTCTGATTTTAGTATCTTTTTTTATTTCTACTTTCAGTCTTTCTCGATACATTGATTTTGATAATCTAGTTTCACACATGGTCTCGTCTAAATTGTAAGATTATGTTATCGATCTTCACTTCTTTTAAGTTAGTTTTTTGATTAAAAAAAAGTTAATTTATGTGTTTTCTTTCTAATTTTATGGAGATAACTTGAAACTTCAATATCACAAGTTTTGAAACCCTTGATTATGGAGCCTAGAAAACGATTCAAAAATTGTTATCTTTGTTGTTCGAAAACAATTCAACATCACAAGTTCACAACTAAGTGTTTTTGTTTTCTTTACTTGTTTTTTTCTCATTGTTTTAAAACTTTAAAATAATAACATGTTGTCTAGAAACATTTATTTGGTGGTGAGAATAAAAAAGTAAAAAACAAAAAACCGAACTAGTATTGTTACAAAAACAATAGAATGATAAATTTTTAATACTGCCCATTTAAAAAACAAAAAAGCACCTCCTTTACTAAAAAAATTTAATGTAAGACCTCATTTTTTTTGTTATCTTCGGACCTCAAATCAAGTTGGACCAGCCTATCAATAGTGCACCCATTTCCAACAAATAAAATGAGGCTCATAGAAATTCGTAGTATACATGCGTTATCAATTATCATGGACATGATACGTACCCATCCTCCTTAAATCATTCAAATTTCAAAGAGAACGCATTAAAAAGTTGTGGCAGCCTGGCAGGGTCATGGGTTTGTCGACTGAACTGGGCCAAAGCCCAGTCTGTTGAGACTGATCAGGAGGTTGGTATTTTTGGGTTGGAAGCAACATGGGCCTGAGGTTCTACTGTCATAAAACTCATGGGTTTTTTGAAATGGCAAATATAACAAGCTACTCTTAAATTATTTCACACCACCTATGTCCACCTAGAGCAAAAAGGTTCGAATATTCACTATTTTTATTGAATTTTACATAAACCGAATTTATTTTGAATTTTAAATAGGTTTTGGTTTGTAAAATAAAAAGCAAATAGTTTTAAAAAATAAGTATTTATTAATATTTGTAAACAAATGACAAGTCTACGTTAACAACTTTTTAAGTAATTATAAACATAATTTCTTACTATATAAGCAACAATTTTTTAAATAATTATAAACATAATTTCTTACTATATAAGCGTATTTTATAAAGTAAAAAAGCCTGTATAAAACAAAAAGGAAATAACAAAAATGATTGCAATCCAAAACTAAACTTGAAACATTCTGTGTATCACATAAAATGTAGAAGACGACTCTTCTGCTTACAACTTACAAATCCAAATTCATTTCCTGTAATCATCAAAGAACACAACAATTCACCTCTCACCCTTTCTCATTTTCTTGTCTGAAATAACTTTTTCTTCAATCTTATTCGCAAATGTCACCTTTGGCCTCAACAAAGTCTGTCACATCACAAAAACCAACTTCCCCATTTTAGTTTTTAATCACAGATCTCCAAAATAAATAAAATTTAATATTTTAACTCACCATGCTTCTGCAATGAAAACTTAGATCCTCATTCATTTGTGCCAATCTTGCCCTTGCTACTTCTTCCTTATACAATGACTTTTCACACACTTCTTTCACCTAATAACAAAGAAGTTGAAAGTATAATGTTAAATGGAATGATGTAACAAACAAATGAATGAAAGGAGTCTTGAAAAGATGATGTAATACCTCATTAGAATCACCACCAGTTCTTTCCAGAATGTTCCTGAGAGAATTCATGTCATTGATGAGCTCCAATGCAACCTCTTCAGCATCATGCATTTGGTTTCTTGAAAACTCAAATGATCTTTCAGCATGAAGACGAAAAGAAGTGCAATTCAAACAGTTGCAGATCCCTCTGCATCCTCTTGGGGTTCTTTTCAAAATCCCATTTTTAGAAATATCACGATTAATTAAGGGAGTATTTAGTGGTGCAATCTGCAATAAAGATTCATGTGTGCTTCCATTAACTGCCTTCTGATTGTCATTTGTATCAACACTTGGCACAATTTCTAGATTAGAAGTTGTTACTTCAACTAATTTCAGATCTTTAATAGGTGATTCCTGTTCCAGCTTCATCAAAGTGTCAGCTTCAGCTTGTAACTTCATGTCTGAATGTGAAGTTGACTCGGTCAACTTTGTATCTGGTCCATGAGTATCCACAAGATTGTCATTTGAAACTTGAGCAACTGTTGTTGTACTTTCAAATGATGTTTCAATTGGATTCAGAGTAGAAGTAGGAGAATCTGATTTCTCATCTGCAGTGGTTTGAGATTCATCCACAATAATACTCTGATTAATCAAAGATGGTGTTGGTGGTTGTTGGTTTTGCTCTGAAGTGTTCTCAGGTTTTGAAAGCTGGTTGCTTTTTGAAACACCTATTCAGAAAGCCCAAAAAAAAAAGTTAAGCTAAATTAGCAACCTGGATTGCAAAGATTTTGTAAGAAATGAAACTAACGTAAGTGAAGTATTACCTGAATCATCTCCTGAAACACTCATCAAGAATGGAAGCAATCTTCTGTGACTAAAGGATGTTGGAGTTTGCAGCATCTTCATCCTGGAACATGATTTGAGTACCTAATAAAAAATAAAAAATCCACATCAGAATTCATGATACTTAAAGAGTGAAAGTTGCCATATTAGAGCAAGGAAGGGTGAAGATTACCAGATTGGACGATGAGACAGAATCATTGTTTTCATTGCTGAAATTTTTTACAGTGTCAGCATCTGCTGTCTTTTGAAGCACTTCAGGAGTTTTATCAAGATTGGGTTTATTATAGATGTCTGAATCCGGTGGTGTCATCTGTAGGCACTCCTCCATTGTTTCATTAAAAGCGTCTTCATGACTTTTCTGAATCGCATCAGACAATCCTGATTTGTTATTAGTTGGTGCAGTATCAACCTCCTGGTCTTTATTGGGAACCATGTTACTTGATTTCTGAACTTTAGGTAATGTCGCCTCTACTATCTCAAAATTTGGAGAATCTGTCAACAAAAATCAAGAATTAGCAGAAGCTAGAGGTGTAAATTGTAATCCATGAGATGGGTATGTATAAAAATGAATAGAAGCGATTGAGTTGATATGTACCATCTGTCCCTAGCTCCGTTAAATAAGGGAGCAACCTTCTATAGCTGAATGACTTCGAACTTATGAAGACCTTCTTCTTGCTACGCGGATTTGTCACCTATCATTTGATTCCGTAAAAAAATCATCAGTACATAGTTAGTCAACGTATAATGAACATCATCAGTCTGATGTAAACCTGAAATTTGACAAATGCGTAACGAATTTGCAGTTTTCAAGGAACTGAAGAAGCAGTAGATACAGGAAATCGAATAAGTTAATCGTATCTTACCGAATATTGGCTCTTAATCATAGAACCTTGGGTATCTCTGATTTCGTTTGTAGCAGAAATGATACCATTCTTTTCTCCAGCCCCCTTGTTTTGCTCAGAATCTGCTACTCTTGGTGTCATCTCAACAAACTCATCAGCTTCAGTGACATTGTTCTCATTGACCAGAGAAGAATCCACGATATTTTCCGAGCTAGATTTCCGATCGAAGGCTACAGAGCTAGAAAGCCCCAAATTACCATGACCAGCATCGCTTTCAGGATCAGCTTCCATGACATTGTTCTCACTAACCAGAAAATAATCCACTGTATTTTCCGATGTAGGTTTCGGATCGATGGCAACAGAGCTAGAAACCCCCAAATCACCATGACCAGCATCGCCTTCAAGAGAAGACATGTTAGGGTTAGGGTTTCCATCATACGTCTTCTGAAAGCCCATGTCAGCTTTCAAATCGACGTTTCCAGAACTCAAAACCTCGTCTGTAATCGTTGTAGGAGAAAACACCCTCCTCGCGCGAAGATCCTTGACTGCGACTCCACTTGTAACGTGATCAGCCGTGAATCCCCATGGTTCTTGCTTTGTAAGTGCCCTTGTTGTCCCTTCAAGCGACAAGAGAGGGTTACTGTTTCGAACGGAGTCGGGTCGAGCGTATCCGGATCTGTGTCGGTGAACATAGACCTGTGACTTGCTTCGGGTGAAAATGCCATCAGATATCGATGACTGATGCTTCCTCTTCCGAGATCTGAGACCTGCTTCCATCGCCTATCTTCTTCTGAGCTAATGTTTTTACGGCGTTAGGGTTTTCCTCCAAATCGGACAGTGGTGGGAGGCGCCTAAAGAAGAGTGAAAATGCGGCGGGAGTGACTACAAAAAATGTGGTGACGTCTGAAATATAGCGGGAATGCTATATGGGTTGGCGGGAAATCATTATTTGCCATGAAAGATAAAATCGCGTTTATATGGTTTAAAAATTATATGTTTTTCGTATAAAAAAAAAAAATCGATTGTGTATTAATGGTTCAATTTCAAATATCTTATGCGGTTTTTGTCCATATAGTTCGTAATGTTATGTGTTTTTGGTTCAAACCCAACATGAAATGACGAATATGTCTTTTTATATTTTTTATTTTTTATTACTATTTTCATTAATAAATAAATTAAAAAAATATAAAGTAACACCTCTCTCTCTCTCTCTCTCTCTCTCTCTCTCTCTCTCTCTCTCTCTCTCTCTCTCTCCTGGAATACGTTCTCCAAACACTACCACTCGATTTTGATTTGGGGATTTTGAAGATTGCTTCCAAAAATTTAACTAAGAACCACGTATGGACCACACGTTTTCCTCCTCGAACACCACTATTCTCATCACGAAAACCAGAAAACACCACAATCGGAACCATCCTTATTTCTTCGTCTCCACAAAACACCACCAACGCAAACCTTCTTCCTTCGTCAGTGGTTCCGATCTACATTTTTTAGGGCTAGAGTTTCCTTGTGGTGACGGTATGCGACAACGATGGTGGTGGTCAGATCCATTGTGCAGAAGTTCAATCAAACACAGTAGAGCACCGAAAATTAACTTGAGAAGGTGAACGAGATGGAGCCCCCTGTAGAGGAAGAGAAGAACGATCAGACGCAAGCCCTAATTTTCAAAAACAGGTTCAGGAGGACTTCGAAAAAGCTCAAATGGTGGATAATGTTGACGGTGGCTTTAAAGAGGGGGATTTTAGAGAAGCTCTGCCACTGTCCTCCATTGGAAGCTAGGTTTCGATGAGTGGTCATAAGATATAACAGAATGAGAACCAGAGGAGAACAGTGGAGGGGATGATGGATGCAGTAACACGGTGATGACACGCGACCTATGTCGACTTCTCCGTCACCACCATTATCCCTTCCTTCCACCGGAGCTATGGTGTAGAAGGAAGTCGTCGCCGTATAAACATATTGGTGGCGTGTGAAGGTTTCTAGGCGGCATCTGCTGATTTGTGGCATAAAAATCTATAGATTGGGGCGTTGGATGGTGCTAGTGAATAGTGGTGACACTTGGGGTGTTTATGTGTTTTCCTGAGAGATAGAAAGAAATGAGAGAGGGGTGGAGGAGCTATGTGTGTGTGTGTGATAGAGAGAGAGAAAAAAAAAAGAGAAAGAGAGAGAGAGAGAGAGAGAGAGAGAGAGAGAGAGAGAGATGTATGTGTGTAAGAGAGAGTGAACGGGATGGTGGTGCGTATTTTTTTTTTTTTAAATAAAAATAGATAACAAACAAATGGAAAAACAAATTATAATGGCATAATGGTCTTTTTAAGTAGATAAGGACCAAAAACAATAGAAATATTCAATTTTGGACCAGTGGTGAACAAATGTGTATGTGTGTAAGAGAGAGTGAACGGGATGGTGGTGCATTTTTTTTTATTTTGAATAAAAATAGATAACAAACAAATGGAAAAACAAATTAATGGCCTGATGGTATTTTTAAGTAGATAAGGACCAAAAAAATAGAAATATCCAATTTAGACAAGTGGTGAACAAACATTTCATTTTAGACCAAAAGCACATAAAATTGCCAACCATAGGGACCATTTTTGCAAATTTGTCGCCATAAAACTCACTGCTCTACCTATATTAATAAAAAAAAGATCATTTTTCTTCGCATGGCTCTTTTTTTTTCAGACAAAAATGATTTTACCTTTATACCTTTCATGTATTTAATATATTATTTCTACCATATTAATGTGTATATGTAATGTTTTAAAAATCAGTTTTTTAGTTGAATCATATATGGTGACCGATTTCCTCTTTAACCAGGTTAACCGGTTTTTATAACTTTCATTTTTTTTTCTATTTTCTTACACATACATACACAGTAAATAATGAATTTGACGTTTACAAGTTCAAACATTAAAAATACACATAAAAATAAGTTGTAAGATCAATCCAAATATATTAAAATAACATATAATCATAAGTTTTAGTGTTTTACATCAATTCTTATACATCAAAAAGAAAATAAACTATAATACCGAAACAAAATATAGTTTTAGATAAATACAAACATATTAAAATAAACTTTATAACATTTACCATATGTTTTTATTTAGAGAAAACTAAATAGATTTGAAAGAAATCACAAAAGTTTATTATGCAAATGGTTATTTTCCATATATTTTAATTCGGTTTAACCGATTCAACTGGTTTATTTTGGCCGGTTCAACCGGTTTTTTCTAAGAACCGTCCGGTTCAAAAATCAACGTAAAACCGATAATAATTGAACCGCTTCCTCCCTCGATTCCCGGTCCAATCGGTTCGACCGGCCGGTTCAAATCAATTTCAAAAACATTGTGTATAAGTCATTTCCTTAATGTACCCTTAATGCCTTTAAAACTAGTATGTCGTTTTCTCATTCCTATTTTATTTTTCCCACTCAAATGGTTTCAATTAATCAATGTTACCAAACTAACGTACTTTAAATTTAGATTATTACTATCTCCTCATTCTATATCCTCGATCTTTTCCAAGGATATTCAAATTTTGTAATTCAAATTCACTTAACAAATTTGAAATGGTAAATTGAATTGCATTCCCTGATCTTTCTCTCCTCTTAAAATGGCATTTAATTCTGTTAATGGGATTTAGTTTTGCAGTAAGAAATCAAAAGGAAACTCAAAAAATATGTACAAACAATAAGAAAATAAAAAGAAAAGTGAAGAAATTGTAAGAAATAAGTAGAAAATGCTTCGAAAACCCTAAAAATCAAATTCAATTTGAATCACCTTCGTCCACTCTTTCTTCCTCTTTTTGCCTTTTTTAATGCAATTTTTTGCATAATCTAGTTTTGTCTTTTTTTAATGCCACTTTTGTTGATTAAATTCGTGATTGTTTTTTTAAATGGTGGAATATTTATTTGGTTTACTGGTTCATACCCAAGAAGCATTTTGACATGATTCTATTGTTAATAAGGTTTCTCTTGGTTACTTATTTTCCATTTATTTTTTGACTTGCATCTGTATTTAGATTGTTCTTGGGCTTATTCATGATAAAAATACAGATTTTGCATACTACTAGCATGTGTTTATGGCACACTATAAAATGAAGCACTTTTGTCAATTGCTCTTTTGGCTTGCTTTAATCTTCTATATTTGTTGAGAAAATGAGTTGTTGATTAAGAAGATTGAATATGATCACTTCTGGAACCTTGTGACCCAGAAAACAACAAAAGTCTATTCATCTTTTCTCTATATTTTTGTTTGTTAATAGAGAAATTTAGATCAGTTAGTTATACTTATTACAGTTTCTCAAACTTTTCACTTTTTCCCCTTTGTCAGCTTTCTTCAAGGGATTTAATTAGGTCTAATACATAGGGTTAATGTCATAAAAACCCTTAAGTTTTCAGGATTCTGTTGGTTTTGCCCAAAGTTGGATTTTATGTTCGTTTTTGCCTCAAACTTGCATTAATTTGTTCATTTTTACTCCCTAACCGGTTTTTACCTTCAAAAGCCGATCAACGCTTATTTGATTGGACGCAATTGCTGACTGGAATTACAAGTTAGCACGCTGACATGTGCCTTCAAGGGAAAAGGGACGAGAATTAGGGGCTTTGGGGAATCGCACCCAGGTCTCTCACTTCAAAGGGAGGAGTTTTAACCACTAAGTTGGAAGAAGTTTTTTTGTTTGTCTTCTAACTTAATATATTTAATGTGTATCTTGCTGGTACTTTTAAATTATTATTATTATTATTATTATTATTATTATTATTATTATTATTATTATTATTATTATTGTTGTTGTTGTTGTTGTTGTTGTTGTTGTTTGTCACAACTAGGAATTCTAATGCTTTGTAAACATTTAACAAGGATAACATTGTAACTAAAACTTGAAAGCATGTATGATTCTTATTCAATGACAACAAAAATCCATCAAACACTCTATACAAACACTCAAATAGTCAACGAAAGGTTGGAAACCCTAGAAATCCCAGTTTAAGTCCAATATGGACTAGGATTTCCTTATTGGGCCTAAGGGGCCAATAAGCTTCCAATTTGACTATTTTGGGCTTAGAAC